ACTTAGCTTAGAATAATTTGTTTGCAAATTGGCTGTCTTATGTCTATCTCTTTCACCAAATATTCTGTTAGCCTATACAGTATAAATGCGAAAGTCAAATATCTTGTATATACTTCATTATAGAAAATTCCATTCACACATGAATTTATTTACTTTACCTTTGTGTTCATATTAATCAGCCAATAACGTCTAGGTAGCTTGTTAATCGATGTTTATATGTCGGTAATGGCTATAAGATTCTGAACTAATGCAGTAATGCAAAGCAAAAAATTAAAAAGGAAGTTAAAACAATAATAAATAATCAAGCGCCATTGTTGAAATCTCCTTTTTTTAGTACCATTTATATAGTAATAGATGTGGCAATGCGATGGATTAAAAGATAAATGTAAAAATCGTATGATGTGCTATATACGTACAAAGGTATGAAGACAAAAAAGGAAATTAAATAAATATATCTAAGCCATACCTGAAAAGTGAATGATTATACACAACATCTGTTTTAGTTATAAGATAATAGCGTGAGTTGATGAAAATCATACATAAAGGAAATGAGAGATAAAAAAGGGAAATGATACAAATTAATAGATTATAGCCATCGCAAAAAGTGAATAATTATGCAGAACATCGATTTTGGTTATAAGGTAATGGCATAGTTTAAGCAATTTACAAATTAATATGCGTAAAATTACAGAATCGCTATAAGAAAAATAAAATATCATAGAAATTTTTTCATGTGAAAAAAGAAATGATGATAAGGAACTTACCGACATAATAAAACCAAAATATAATCTTGGAGAACCTTTTGGGTCTCATTAATGACTGGCGCGGTTTAAGCAGCTTGCAAATTAAGAAAAACTTATTGCTGTAAAGATGAAAGCTTTTGTCCTTGTACATGATATGTTTGAGCTTTAGAGAATTAATGTATAAATATTTGTATAATGAAAATTATGTATATAAGAAACGTTTTCTTGCCTTGATAAAATAATTCTACATTAGTATTTGAACAGTTTCTTGATATTCTAAGTTATACTTGTTCAAGACTAAATAATAAAGTTATATATTAGTAATCTATCCCATTATTATATAAAATCCAGTATAAGAAAAAAAAACACCCAAATCTAAATATTTGAACCAAACCTAATCATGAATAGTGATAACGAATATGACGAACCTGTTTATGATGAACCCATTTATGATGAACCCGTTAATGATAAAACCGTTAATGATGAAACCGTTAATGATGAAAATGATGACGTCCAAGAAATTAATGAACCTCCTAATATATTTGCCGTGAGAAAAACCCCAAGAAAATCTGCAGATGAATCAAGTTCAAAAAAAGTTAAAGTAAATATTAATAAATCGGCTAATTCTATATCCAAAAAGTCTTACGTTTGGGATTACTTTAAAAATGAAAATGATCGTGACTATTGCAAAATATTAGTTTTTCGAGTGGGTGTAGAAGTTGAATGTGGAACAAATTATAAGCATGATGGTGGAACAGGGAATATGAAACAACATCTTTTAATAAAGTTGATAGCAAATTTACAATTGAATTATACTAATGTTATAATATTTTTTTGAAAGATATATATTA